TCTTACGATTTCAAAATCCAAATGTATTTGGTAAAAGGACTTTCACATAGTTCTTTAGACAACTCCCAAAAAAATTTGTTCAAAGGAAAAAGTAATAGTTAAATTTAGTGCATTTTAATTTTCATGAAGTTCCTTTTAGAGCCAAGTGTGATCTACGCCTTCCACTTAAACTATGTGGAACCCAAACAATGTCTTCCATTAAATACCAAATTTCCATCCCATATATATAAGTTTTTCTGCATAATTTTTCTGTTCTTGGAGCAATATTCTATGACCTTTGAATACAATTTACTCCTGCATCTAAAGTTATGGCATAAAGGAAGTGTATTCCTATTGGTAAAAGAAAATTTGTAGTTGTTTTGTTTGTTCTTTGCTTTGCTAAGTACAAATTAATGATGAGTGCTTGTGATCATGCCTTTTATTTCTTTAGTCAATTCCTTTTCTAAATGTCTTCCCCAATTATTATTGATGGGTATTGAGAACAATACTTTAAATTTGGCTTTACTTTCCTGCCAATTCAGCGTTTTGCAAATCTATTAATCGTGTTTTTTCTATACAGCAGTGGCATTGAGATTTGAATTTATGATAGCATATAAACTACTCAAATCTTTCATCATTAGACCAATCTTAATAACTTATCTATTAATCGTATTTTTTTTTATAATCATAATCATGTTTTACTTAAACAAAATTGATCATGCTTTTACTTTAGTTAATTTAAAAAAATTGAATAATGATTTAAAAAGTTTTTGTGTATATGACTCACATGAAATTATATATTTTAGAAATATGATGGACAAATCTAACTGTGGTAACAGATGACATGCAAGTCATTCAATACATCGAATGCACACGTGTCCGTAGTGAGGATACTTGAAAAGCTTAGGAGTTATACATGGGATGCGAAAGCAGTGATAGGCTGATAGCTTTGACAGCATTTGCTTTTGACAGCATTTTTTAGAAATATTAAATTAATTTTATTGATGTTACGTGAAGACTTTCCCACTGTATGGGAAAATAATTTCCATCCTATGGATAGCAATCTTCTATAACTATTCTATGTGGAAAAAATATATGATGGGAAAAAAAAATCTCCAGCATTATTTTTATTCTTTCTCTTATTAAATATGAGCAAATAATTTTTCTCACGTCACTTTTCTGAAAAAAAAAAAAAATTCCCTCCTCCTGAAGTATATTTATTAGCGGTGATATTTATATTGCAGATTAACAATGCAAAGTCGGGTGCACATGAGAAGAGTTGCCACTTGCCACGCGAAGACCACAAAGTGTAATCTTAATATATCATTAAGAAAATGATTTAGTATATATGTGTTTGAATTAGTTTGTTTTGTATTGAGTGTTGAAAATATTTTATAATTGAAATTTAGATTTTTTTAAATTAAAAGCAAATTCAAACATACTATTATTTTCAATTGAAATAAAATTAATATTTTTATCCAACAAAAAATAAATATTTTTTTAATGAATAAGCAATTAATGCTAGATAAGAGTTGAATTATTATTTTATTTTATATTAATTAAGGAAACATGAACATTTATGAGGTTAGGGAGTGGTCAACTGAAATTATTCATGGCGGCCCTTTCGCTATCATTCTTTCTTTCGAGAAACTCTAAATTAAAAACTCCGAATTTTTCTTTTTTATTTCAAACAAAGAGCATAATACATCGACACAGAAAGTTGAACCATATGAAATTTAAAATAAATTATATTGTTTTTTTTTAATAGAAACTTTAATTATTTATTAATAGAATTATGTTGTTTTCTTTTATTGATGGATGGTACGATATTAGTTGAATATTTATGGTACGCGTTCTGGAAATAGCTAATTACGTCAGAGACTAGACTCAGTGATTACGTCACAGTGGTAAGCTGTAGAAGATGATCCCGTTACCATAAACGCGTTTGAAATCACATGTCTCGCGTTCCTACTGTTAGACAAATAGCGCACGTTGCCACTACTCATGTGACAACTGTCCTTTCAAACAAATAATACATTTCAACTGCATCAAATCGATCATCTTAATTTAAGCTGACTAGTTAGAATTAACCTAGAAAGAGGGACCACTGACAACGACAGCACATAGTTTAATTTGTTTAGTTAGTGGCAGAACGATGTAATCTGAGCCGTTAAATTTGTTTAAAATCATATCAACGGCAAGTAACATAAAGAGGATTTTACGCATCAAGTCGTTAGAATTTTAATATTGCAAACGAGTAATTGGCAACATTGAGGGTGTGTTTGGTACAGGAGAAATTCTTTTGTGACCGGGAATCATGATTAATGGAAATTCAGTAGAAATTGAGTTTACTTGGAATCTTACGAAAGAGGTGTTTTGTTCGCCAAAATATTACCGGAAATATTGGGTAAAAATTACTGATTCCCTATTTGATTTAGAACGAAATATGAGGTTATTTTACAAAAATAACCCCAAACTATTTTTACTTTTGTAATTGATAGATTGGGTCTAGATTTTTATGTGTATTGGGGTATTTTTGTCTCAAAATTTATTTTTGTGCTTTCCTTTTGCTTGGTATTCTGATTGGTATTCCGAATTACCATATTATTTTTGGTAATCTGAATAGTGACTTTTCTTTATAAATCAAATTACCGGTAATCCTTGGATATCCGGGAATCGTAATTTATTCCTCTACCAAACATGGTAATTACATTTACCAAAGAAGGATTACCGGTAATCCTCTCCAAAAACTTGAAACAAACACCCCTGAGTGTCCTTTAAATGCACGTAAGTAAGGTGTTCATCAATTGATTTAAATTAAGGTTATTAAATTGAAAATTTGATAATTGAATTAATTAAAAAAAATAAAAAAACTAAAAACAAAAAAAAAATTGCATATTTTAATTTGATTAGATCAATTTAGTTGATCAAAATCGATCCAATATATTTTTATTTTTTTGTTATTTTTGAAAGATGAGGATTTCAAATCTTGTTGTTTTATAGAATTTGAATCTTGGATATTATTAATAGCAAACTAATATGTTTTACTTTTTTATAGTCTATTAATATATTTTAACTCTTCAAGAGTTTTAAGACTTATTTTAATTTGAAGACTTGAATTTTTCATTAGTTTGTAATTTTGAATGACTTTATTTTGATATAACTAATGATTTGTATAGCTGAAATTTTAAACTTTTTGAAAATCGATATAATCCAAATTGAATAAAAATGGATCGGATTGGATTAGATTAAATTTTTTTTTAAAAATTATTTATATATGACACCTCACATATATATGTAAATTCTTGAACTTAAACTCTTAAAAAAAGTAAAATCGTACACAACTAGAACTCTAATTACTTCGTCATTTCCTCTAAAGCACGGGTACACAACTATTCAAAAAAATTGCGTGTCAGACACGGACACGCTTCGACACGCTCAGACACGCGTCCAACACGCTGTCAACATTTGGGGACACGCGGTCAACTCTCGGACACATTCCGACACGTTTTTTCGACACACAATCAACTTTTTCCGACACGCGGTCAACGCTCGGACATTTTTTTTTTTAAATCATAATTTTATTTTTTTAACTAAATATAAAATAAATAATTTATAAATTAATTTTTTTCTGTTATGAAATTTGACATGAAAAATTAACAAAGTATGAAAAATTATTTATATTTATAATTATGTTATGAAATTTAAATATTTGATTGGTTATATGACTTATTATGAACTCTTATATGTATTAAATATAAATTATATTATATATATTAAATTTTTTATTTAATATCAAAACGTGTCCCAACGTGTCGAAATATGACATTATGGACTCTTTCACGGAAATCACACTATTAACACTTATCTCTTTCAATCTAGTTCTTGATATCATGATCCATAAGCAAATCTGTAGAACAACAGCCAACCTCATTGCTCCTTACACATCTATAAATTTATCTTTACACCTTAGAACAGGCTGTAAAATATTATTTGTGTATTATTTCACTATTTAACTCCTCCTCTTCTTTTTCTTTTTTACTCTCGATTTAGTATCTATTTTTTAGAATACTTTTTCCATTTTGTTTGCGGGATTATTAAGTACTAGACAATAAAATGACCTACCCTCTACAAATTTAACCCAAACACTTACTAATATGAAACTTTAAAAATGGGGAATTAAGCAAAGGGACAAAGAAACTGAATCTATATTTAGTTGGATGCAAACACTGTATTATGCATGCTATTTGATTGTTGTAGTTTTTTATTTTTATTGTTGTTCCATTATTAATATGCAAAAATCAAAATAGTAAGTAGAATTGTAATTGTAAAGATTATTTCAACACAGAAGGTTAGATTTGAAGGATAAATAATACATAGACCTATCTAACTGTGCTAAAAACTCTTCATAATAATTATATACTAATAAAATGAGGGCGATGAGATGACAATAAAATACGTGACCGTATTTTTACTCATACAAAAGCCAATAGATTTAAAGAATGGATAATGCAGTTATGAAATTTTTTTTAGCCAAATGGCTTTTATGGCAACCATAAGAATAACTTCAAACATTACTAGAGCCTAGTAATATTTTAAATCATGTGATGATAAAACAAAAATATTGCGATTCTCTCACAAAATGAAGTCCTTGATTGAAGTAACAAATTAGTATTGTACTACCAAAAAATGGTAGTTCAATTGGCGTCGGAGTGATAGTATGTGTTCAATTATCATCTTTAGGAGGAGTGAGGAGTTTAAAGTCTTAATTTCGGGATCCGTCCAGAATCAAAAAAAAGATTAACCTGTTAGAATATTAAAATAAAATAAAATTGTATTTTACTCTTTTTCAAATATGTAGCAGTTGTGATTATCTTCGAAGTGACTAAGATACTTGAGTCCGTCGTCGTGGGATTATAAATAGGAACTAAGATTGCAGCTGTATGAGGCAACAATTAATACCGTAGGCGTAAAGTACTCTCTGCTAGCTGCTTAATCCGAGAGAGTTTTATTGAGCGAGAATGTTCAGCATGAACAAGAAGCTTAAGACAGGTGCAAGTGTTTACACTAATCTTTCTTATACTGCTACTGCTGGTTCGCAGTTGCAGCAGGAATCAGTAGAGCTGGGTAAGCTGAACCCATTCATTGTGAGTGATGATGAAATCTCCAATAAACTTAAAGGGATCCATGACTCCCAGGCTGTTAGGCAAGACGTAGCTTCTCTTTACAATGTCGTCAAAAACATTGTCACTAGCGAGTCTCTCGATCTCAAGGTTCAAATACAAAACACAAAAAAAAAGCTACCCAATATTATACATACTTGTTTTTTTTGTTTTTGTTTTAATGAATGTTTATATTTGGATTACAGAGTCCCAAACCCATTGAACTGGTGCAAGAGGTTCCTAAATCTGGTTTCATGCCAACCAACAGTATGCTGAAAGAGATAGTTTGTCAGGTTATGTGGAAAATTAATTATATCTCATGTTACATATATTAATTGTTTTTGAATGCATTCATTGATCATTGAAATGGTACAAATTGAAATGAATTTGTGGTGATGCTTCCTTTTAACTTTTGGTTAGTTTAAGTAAAGTAGATTCAAAGATATCTGACTGACATGAAATTATTAATTAATATGATGGAGAAATTATCTAACCCCTTCCCTGGGTGATGGTGACAGATGACATGCAAGTTAGTGGATAACGCATCAAATGCACACGTGTCCGTAATGGGGATACTTAAAATGCTGAACAGTTACACATGGGATGTAAAAGCAGTGATAGTGTTGACGGCTTTTGCTTGGGACCACGGTGAAAACTGGCGTCTATTCCTCACGAAAGGTGCTACCAAAGAGAATGCATTACTACTCAATATCTTCAGTGTTGTGGAACCAATTGATCCCAAAGCTGCCGCCCTTACCAGCAATTTGGTTAATCTCACGCTGCAACTCATTGACCTCATCATTGAGTTGGAGGACTTGTTTTCTAACAAAGCTTATACAGCAAAAGATGTGCCTGCTTTGCATGATGCTACTCGAGGTCGTTATACCTATTGGGCAATCTTAGCCCTTCTAGCATGTGCTAATCAAAATGCTGAATCGTGAGTAGTTCTCTTTCATGCAATTATTCAATATGTCATCTTAATTTTCTCAGAAATTTTTTTCAATCGATCTACTGTTATACAATTAATTGTTTTGATCCAGGTACGGGGAAATCAAACACCAAGTGCTTGTGAAGCTCCAATTATCTGTTCTGCCACATGCAAATGCTACTCTGGTTAAAATCAAAGGCCAAATAGGTTATATATATAACGGCGTTGCGCTCTTATATTTCATTATTATGTTTTGGTTACATTTCAAGTTCAATTAGCTAGTTAGGTAATTAGGTAGGAGTGGTCATGAAAGTTAACCTTGTGTTAAGAACTTTGGGATACACCATCTAAAAGCTAGCTCAAAGGGAGGGAGTGTCCAAGGCTACATTAGTTTTCCACACAATCAATGTGGGATTATATATCTCAACACGCCCCCTCACACGAGAGCCCTTTGGGCTTGAAGTGTGGACATTGCACAGGTCCAATTTTTGGTTTACCTTTTTGTGCTTTTTATCTTAATTCCATTTTAAATTGGGAGCGGAGAGGATCGAACTTGTGATCTTGTAGTCCACTCAAGCTCTGATACCATGTAAAGAACCTTGGGATACACCACCCCAAAAGCTATCACCTAACACCTTAAAGTTTTGGGTTGAAGTGGTTTTTTACATGGTATCAAACCATAAGGTTGCGAGTTCGATCCTCACCGTCCCCACTTTCAGGTGGAATTAAGAAAAACATAAGACAGACCAAAAAAATGGGCTTGTGTAGCACAAGGCAGATCAAAAATGGATTTGTGCCATATCCATGCTTCAAATCCAAAGGGCTCTTGCGTGAGGGGGTGTGTTAGATAATAAAATATAAAGTACTAAAAAGACTATCACCTAACACCTTAAAATTTTAGGTTGAAGCAATTTTTTACACGTTGTGAAGGTGAAGGAGGGAATTTCTTACTTCTACGCTACACTCAAATAGTTGATAACACTCATTTAATAACTTTACTGAATTGACAATCTAATATTACTGATCAAAGATTCTCTGTCTATTGCAGAAATTTTAGAGGTTAAGAACTGGCGTATAAATGTCTTCCACAATCCTACAGATATTTTGGAGCTTTTAAGAGCTCTCATCTTCCCCAGATATACTGAGCAACTCGAAATATTCGATAATACTGCTAATAAAAGGGTTAGTGCCACATTACAAAAAAAATGATATTTTCACTGATTCTCTGAAGGCGGGGCATGTGATGAAATGAAAAAACAAAACTTTTTTATTTTTATATTAGTGGATTAATGTCAATCATCATCCTCACTGTTTTTGTGATGGTTTGTCCTGAATATATAGGTTGAAGCTGAAGTGCTAAAGACAAAGAACCTATTTTTGTTCATTTCTGGTCTTGAAGACATTGAATATGTGATTTCGGTTCTGAGAAGTATTCACGACTCCCTGACGAAAGACGAAGACAAACATGATTATAAGATCTTGTGGATTCCCGTTGTGAAAGAATGGAACGAAGCAAAGAAGAATAAGTTTCTGGAGTTGAATACTCAGATGCCTTGTTACGTGGTACACTACTTTTCACTTATAGAAGGTATCGAATGCCTCCAAGACTACTGGATGTACCTGGGTAAACCTATTCTGGTGGTGACCGATCCTCATGGGAAGGTAACAAACAAAAATGCATTGCCTATGGTTAAGATGTGGGGTATGGAAGCTTTTCCCTTTGGAGCCCTTGTCCCACTTCCCCAGCAATGGAAATGGTTTTGGAACATAGCATGTAACATTAATGCGGATATTGAAAAATGGAAGGTACGTACAACTTTTCATCTATAATCTTTGATACTTATTGCTAGTATAGAGATTGAACTAATCTTTGTATAAAGAGTAAAGAGGGGTAATATTAAAAATTATATTGCTCAAGTGCAAATAAGATCATTTAGTTAGTACTGTTCATTTGCTTTTGTCCGTATTCAGTCGATCTAAATTCAAAACCTCGTCAAAAGTTGTTTACAATTTCCTAACAATGAAAAATGGTCCTTGCTATATGGATTACATGAATAATTTAGCTTTTAATTAATCAAGGAATTTTTTTAATTCAAGATTAATTTAATTTAGCAGTTTTCCATAAACATTGTTTCTTTCATATAAATCGCAGTAACAATTGAGTATACAGGTTTTAACATGTACCCTATTCGTACATGGTAAATGTAATGATATCCCAACAACTAGTAGTAGTCAATTAATGCAAAAAACAAAGAGGTTTGATTGAGTTTTTACTGTCGATTCTAAATTTTGGATTGATCAAGTTTGTGTATATTATATTATCATATAGTGTAAAGAACCTTGAGATATACCACTCCAAAAGCTAGCTCATGGGGTGGGAGTGCCCAATGCCTTATAAAGGCCATATTAGTTGCCCATCTAATCGATGTGGGACTTTTTATCTCAACGCGCCCCCTCACGCAAGAGCTCTTTGGGCTAGAAGTATAAAGCGGGGGACGGTGAAGCTCTGATATCATGTAAAGAACCTTGGGATACACCACTCCAAAAGCTAGCTCAAGGGATGAGAGTGCCTAAGGCCTTAAAAAGGCCATATTAGTTGCCCATCTAATCGACGTGGGACTTTTTATCTCAACATATAGATATCATGACTCATTAAAATATATATATTGTTGTGAACCAGACCCAGGAGAACACGTATATCTTCATTTATGGAGGTGGGGACAGCAACTGGACACAAGAGTTTAGTATTCGTGTGGATGCCATAAAAAATGACTCCAATATCACCAAGGCAGGGATAACAATAGAGACAGTTCTGATTAACATTAAATCCAAATTCTGGGAGGACACAGAGCACTTGTTTCTGGACATGTTTCAAAAGGATCACTCTATGGGTGTCGTCAAAGATATACTGACTTTGTTCTCTATGCAAACTGAGGAGGGATGGGCTATTTTGAGTAGAGGGGAGAAAGTACTAAAAATAGATTGCAATGGCTATTTGATGAATGCGATAAGGGAATTTGATGAATGGAAGAAGAATCTGCCGAAGCAAACCTTTGAGGGGGCTGTCGAAGGCCATATTGATAAGAAAGGCCCTCTTCCTCTACACTGTCGCCGCATTCAATATGATAACATTCACTTTGATGCCTCATTGATCATGCCCTGCCCGGAACCAACCTGTGAAGTGAAAAAAATGGAAATAGAATCTGTGACTGTGAGGTACAAGTGTTGCCATGGGGAGCATGATCATGGGACTGAAAATGGTGAAGTTCATCATCCCCCAGAACTGCCGAAGACCAATTAACAGCCTGATCAATCTGCTTAATTCGAATAATAAATAAATCAAGGTGAAGCTCACATGATGCTCTCATGAAACCCCTGGTCAATCTGCTTTGATGTTTTTTAATAAAGATGTTTGTCTCAATTATGTGTACGTGTTTGTGTTTGAGTCTGCACGTACGTGTACCTGTGTAGAGGTGCTAATGCTTGTTTAGTCTTTTACATTGGCATCAATGTGTGTGTGCTGCTGTTGCTGAGTAGTAGGTGTCTTGAGAGGTACTAATCAAGGCTTTTTATTTCCCTGTTATGGGAGACTCTAAATATTGTACCTCCCTAGCTCCTCAATTAAATAAATTTGGAACGTTTAGCATCATCTCGTTTATTAATGTTATTTACTAATTATTAGTTTTTTTTTTTGCTGAAATGATATATATTTGAGTGATGATAATCCCGTTAATTCAAAGAACGTACAATAATAGCCCAAATAAGAAGCCATGTCGAAGCTTGATATATATTGTACGAGCAACACTGTTGCGGAAGTTTTGATGAGTTTTTTTTTTTTTAAAAGTTGTTTTTTTTTCAAAAAAAAAAGCACTTCTCGTTTCTCGTTTCTCGTTTTTAGTTCGTTTGGATGTGTACTTTTAAAAAAGCAGAAATCACAAAAAAGTCAAAAACTTACTTTTTTCAGAAGCTAAAAATTTTAACTTCTGAAAAAAACAAAAGTCAAAAGCCAAATATTTTTTTAAAAAACTAAATAGCTTTAAACTTTATAAAAAATACTTCTAAAATAAAAAAGAGATAAAAATTATTTTTTTGAGACGCCCAAACAAACAGACTCTATATGCTTGTACACTGCTTCTTCTCTTTTCTTTTTTTTCTTTTTGAAATTGTACAGTAGTGCTTCTTACATGCACGATGAAGATTCAGCTTTGGAGCACATGTCTTGGTCAATACCTGACACCCCAATATATGATAAATAATTATCTCATCCAAAAGTTCAAGCAATTAAATTATGAGCTTATATATCTAATACACCTACAAAAGTTTTTTGGACTTTAAACATAGATAATATACATATTTATTTATTTTTCTATCTTAATTATGTTATTTTAATTTCATTAAAAAATAAGAGCCGTGAGAATAAAACTCGTGACTCCTATGTTACCGGGGCTTCAATACCTTGATAAAAAAACTATATCACTTATTTTTTTTTTTTTTGGATTTAATATGCAAGTAAAACAAAAATTTAAATTTAATTTAATAAAATAATGAACAAATGATTCATTTATTTAATATTACTGCAACAAATGATTCTCTTTTTGGCACGAATATCCCATATACTGGGAATGACAATCATGGCTTCATGTTCAAATGGGTACACAAATTATTACTGTGTATGCACGCGCCAGCCTGCATTTAAATTATATGGCTGCAAAATTTTGAACTAGATATTCTGAATAAAGGATAAAATATAAATCTTTTTTATTCGCTGGTAGTTATTGACTTATTGAGTTATTGTCTCAGGAGTATTTTTTGCTTTGATTTTTCTCATGATTACTCGCGAAAAGGGCTTGGTTGGATCATTAAAATCAATCCGCTGGAGAAGGGATATGCAGAGAATGAACTCTAGGACTCCCTAAATATGAGTCTATATTAACCTACGGAAAAATTATTTTTATGTCACATAACACAAGTTTTCTCTCTTACACACCATTCGATTACTGTGTCACTTTTTCTTTTTTCTTTTTTCAGGTGGTGGAGCCTACTAATTTGTCTCTATGACATGAGATAACTATCTCCGTTAACATGAAATTAATAACACTCATTAACTTATGTTGCAAAGCTTAATATTGGAGGATATTCAATATTTTGACGAATTGTTAGGTATGGTTTACTAACAACAACTCTTAAAGGATAGCAATAGGGTGGAAGCTTAGCTCGAAGAGTGCTTATCAGAACCATTTTAATCTGGTTGGACTGACAATTTGATCTTCCTCTACACAAATAGTTTGATGCAGCTTTAACCCATATGTCTTTATTAGAACAAGATGAGGGATGTACATGCAAGACACTCCGACACTCAAGTTAGATTTTGAGTAAGCAGGTTTATTTATGTAGAAGAAGATGCGTATCTTTGGGTTAACACATTCAATATTTATAGTGGAGAGATGATCAGCTTGGGAGATGTCGTTCTTCATGTTCAAGGCAACCATCTCTTTTCATTGGTTCTTGTGGGTGACTTTGTGATAAGCTTTGCAGAAGTTTGCTTGGTGGTGAAATTTGTAGAAGCAATCATGGCAAGATCAAGCCTTTGTTGACTGAGCCTTTTCTTAATGGTAAAGGCTTTCAATATGGGTATTGTATTTCAATATATTTATTCCAAATTAGAAGCCCCCTAGCTCGTTGCTTATGTTGAAGGCATGAGTAGCAAGATGCATAAGTCCGCAAAATGATTTTTCTGTTTATCAACCCGGAAGATTCATGTCACTATGCTTTTATTTTGCACTATGGTCTTTTCTTTGCTGGTGTTTTAGAGTTTCGAATATTTGTGCCCTGAACTTTATATACATTTCATAATTCATATACTTGTATACCTTTCTATATTTGCACGCTTTTACTTCACTTCGAGGGATCTTTTTGTTGAAATGTCTGGAGGGTTTTAATATGATGCCGCTTGTTTGAGTTTGATGTTGCATGCTTGATTTTGATGTCGCGTTGGTTTTGAGTTTGATGTGGCATTGTTGACCTAAGGTTTAAGACTTAAGTATTGGTATAAGGGCCTGTTTGGTGTGACGTATAATGCATGATAGTATAAGCTTATACAATATGTTATGACATTTTCAGTTGTTTGGTGTGGCCACCGCATAGTATAAGCTTATACAGCATAATCATTTAATACATCAAAACGGTGTATAACTTAATTCGGCCTAAGGGTGAGGGATAAGACCTGATAAGAGATTGATGTATTAACATCGTTGACCAATGTAATTCTCAAAAATTAATATATTATTTTAATATTAATCTATTAAAATAAAAATTTATTTTTCAATATATTAATTTTTAAAATATTGAATATTTTTATTTTTATAAAAATTAATTTATATTTTGGACACACTGATCAATAAATTTTTATAAAAATTAATATCATATGACATTTTTTGAAGAATTATATAAATTATTTATTAAAGGATATTTTTATTAAAAATATTTATTTTTATCATATATAGTATTATACAGTGCATTACCAAATACTAGATGATATTATCTTATACAATATATTATTTTATACAATACTGTTCCAAACGCTTGATAGTATTAAAATTCAATCAGGTCTTATACAATCAGGCCTTATACTATCAGGTCTTATACTATCAGGCCTTATCCTATACTATGCAACAAACATGCCCTAAGGGTTCATGTGCCTGTATAGCAGGTTCACTTTACTTCACTTTTCAGGACATAAGGTTCAGGCCTTAGCAACTGGTATTTAGGTTCAGGTACCTATACAATTCATATGGTTTGTACTAATTAGTGCTTCAGTACTATTTCAATCAAGTATATAAGATACTTGTCTAGTATTCATTTCAAGCTTGCATCATGGTAATAACAGGAATTCATGTATGATATTCGTTGTGTACCTTTCTTTCATTTCGATGTCACTTTGAGCAAGAAGACTGAAAGGCATTCGTGATCTTGCCATTCAAAATTTGATGTCGCATATTTGATGTTGTTCAGTTTGTGCTTAATGTCGTTCGTTTGATATTTGCAGTACTGACCTAAGGTTCAAGCCTTAGGCATTGGTATAAGGCTTTATACTAGCTTTTCCTTTTCTTCAAGACCTAAGGTTCAAACCTTTAGGCATTGGTATCAGGGTTCAGGTAACCTGTATACCAGATTTACTTCAAGCTTAAGGTTCATGCCCTAAGCACTGGTACCAGGGTTCAGGTAACCTGTGTACCAAATTTTCTTCAAACTGATACCAGGGTTCATGTAACCTGTATATCAGACTTTATTCATACTAATACTAAAGTTCAGGTAACCTATATATCAGATTTTCTTCAAACTTAAGGTTCATGCCTTAAGCACTAGCACCAAGGTTCAGGTAACCTGTGTACCAGATTTACTTCAAGCCTAGTATAAAGGTTCAAGTGCCCGTATACCAGTGTTCGCTTCCAAGGGTTCACGCCTTAGGCGCGCATAACCTGAATCTTTCGTTGATTGCTGCCTAAGGTTCAAACCTTATGGACTGAGTTAGGATTTTGATTTCCAAGTCAGCTTTCACTTTTAACAGGTTCAAACAAGGTTTATATCTTGCTTTTTCAGTGAAACGTGCAACTTTCACGGATCTCAAAGAATAAAATCATATCATTTCAAGATGATAAGTTCAATGAGATTAGTTCACAAAGATTCATAGTTCAAAATAACTTTACAGATATTTAACTATAAAAATTTCAAAATTTATTTGTATTCCCAATGAGATTCATATCTTTATTGTTCATCATTCATGGATCCCTACAACTTTCATGAATTTCACAGCAAAGACACAAGATAGTCAAAATAAGTCATATACATCAAGACGTTTTTCACATGGGCATCCTGCAAGTTATGTAATCTTGCAACTGCTCAATATTATATCCTGTTGTTTCACATTGTGAAATTCATATAGGGATTCAATACATTATAGCCTATCAGGCTTGTTAGTCAAAGTAACATTATTTCATGTTTGTCATATTTCACACCTTGTATTAGAAGTAGGATGCATAAAGGCTTATGATGTTAAGGACAACATAAGGCACATTCACAAAATAATTTCAAATATGTCAATAGTAATGTGATCCACCGTGCTTGAGTCAAGCTGCAACTCAAGATGTTCATTAACAATACTTTCATGACAAGAATTTGAACTCTTCAACTAGGTTTCATTCACAAGGATAATTCATATTCCTGGGATGATTCTTATACCTAAGATGTCTCAGACTTTGTCAATTTCAAAATATTAATTCCATACACATCTGTCTGATGCTT